CGTATCCGCTGTTGGGGAATAATAATTAATAATAATAATATACGACCACCCCCCAAGCCTACAACCCTATCAGCCCTATTGTAATTCTTCAGACCCCCTTCTGTTCCATACCCTATGGCTCAATACCTATGACTATTATGGAACTAGGTCCCCACAACCATAATCAGGGTGATGTTTTGAGACTTAGCTCCATCAGACTGTTGTTGATATAACTCCTGCATTACCGAAAGCTGGTCTTTATGGTATATTCCTTATTAAGGGTAGTGCAGGACAACATCATCAACCGCAGTTGTATATATGGGTGGCTGTCGCAATTATGGTGCTTTTTGGGGTCCTTATAAGACGGCACCTATCATTTAGGGTTATTCCAAAAGGGACCATAATTTTGACAACTACCCATATGGACCCTCTTGGATAAGAAGGACAGCAGCCCCAAGAAGGCGGAGATGATGGGCCGCAGTATGGGAGTGAACTCGTGGCTTGCCTCCATGGCCCTAAACCCTATAGGGTTTAGGGTTTAGGGCTTAGGGTATAAACCCTAAACCTCTCTGTCCTGGCCTGGATTTTAGGGCTTGGTTTGTGCTGGATTTGGGGCTTTTGGCTTGGGGTTGAGGATATAGCGTTTAGGTTTGAGGTTTTAGGGAATAGGTTTTAGGGAATAGGGTTTTGGGTATAGGGTTTAGGGTTGAGGGTTTAGGGTATGATGTAATGTATCTTCCGAAATATTTGGGTATTGCATTATATGAATCACAATATTACTGGACTATTCTACTACATGTAACACTTAGTAAAAATACATCTTCGGGCTCCGTAGCCATCGTAGAAGATAATTACACCGGAAACCCTATTCTAATGCGTAAGCCCGCTATCATCGTAGGGCCGTAGGGCTAAGGGCCCCTAGCCGAACTCCTGCCACCTGAAGGCTGGAATACACGCAGATCGTGTCGGACTGGTTTGATCTGGATGTGGCACCCATTTTGGAAGATCTTCTGAAAGCCACTCGGGGGCGCAATTCATGGTTCATGCGTTGGCATGGGCAGGGTTATAAGTGCCTTGCTGGGATGACACTAATTAGTGAACATATCCCCAATTCAGAACTAGACATGTGCCTTCAATGATGTTTGGTATGCCGTTTTAGGCTTGCGGTTGGAGGTTGTCAAGAAGGGTTCCTTTGGTTCCTTCAAAACTGTAAACCCTAAACACCTAAAAAACGCCTTATAAACCCTAAGCCGTAAACCCAAAGCCCTGAACCCTTAAAAACCTAAGCCCTAAACCCCTAAACCCCTAAACCCCTGAACCCCTGAACCCTAAACCCCTAAGCCCTAAACCCCACACCCTAAACTGTGTCAGGATCGCCGCAGGCTCAGGGTTTGGAGAGTGGGGTGTTTTTGGGCTCAGGCCTCAGGATCTAGTTTATTAAGGTTTTAGGAAAGGCACCTTCACAACCCCAAAGCGTCCTTGGGGTTTAGGGTTTATAGGGTGTTAGAATAGTTATTTTGTAGGGTTTCTATAAATATATGCGGAACTACCATTATGATTTGGTGAAGTACCACCCATAACAGTACGTAGGACCCTTTGGGAACTACTGTAGTAGTTGCGTTGGGTGGCGTGGTGCAATAGGAGGCTCCGAGACAAGCCATGGTGGACCGGGAACCCCCAAAACGCTCCTAATGTAAGGGCCTTCTCTCGCACTCTAAATTCCACGAAAGTTGGGAACTCGACAACTTAAATAATTAATTACCTATACTATTTTGGGGGATCCTTATTACAGTTCTAATATCATATAGTTCAAAAACCCTATTCGAATTATGAAAGCGCCTACACTAAAGCCTAAAAAACCTCAAACCCCAACCTCAAGCTTCAACGCCTATTTTCGCTTTGCCCAAACCCTAGACCCTCAAACCCTAGACCGAAACCTTGATATTGAAGCTTAAACCCTGCGCCCTAAACCTTAAAGTTTAGGGCTTAGGGCCCCATCACCCAAACCTTAAACCCTAAAGCCTAAACCCTGAGCATCCCGGAGCCATCCGCGACCGTCGCAGGCAGCCACGAAGTGAGAGTGTCCGAAGCAGTCGGCTTTGTCCAAGGCCGGGAGACAGTCCGGCTCAGGGTTTAGAGTTTAGGGGTTTAAGGTTTGGGGGTTTAGGGTTTAGGGTTTAGGCAATACCGAAACGCGCCAAAAGCAAGTAAAACAATGGCCCAACACGTATAAGAGGCCATTCTGCTACATACTTTTGGGCTATAGGTAGGGTTGAAGACAAATTCTTGTATTTATCAATATAGTTATGTATCGCAAGGGTCTTTGGGTTCGGTGTTGGGGTGTATGGCAGGGTTTACGGTCTAGGTATGTTTTTTGAAGTTTCTGTCTGGACCATGGCGTTTGTTTGGGGTCTGTCGGAATTATCGGAGATCTCTCATGAAAGGTGGAGCAGGAATTGGTCCTGCAGTGGTTTTGGATCCAGACCCCAACACACCAACGACGATGCTTTCAAGTCTTGAGCCAAGACAAGTTCCACAGCATTGAAGCCTGAAGCTCAGCCCCAATCCTTCCAACCCTCAGTCCTAAACCCTAAACCCTAAACCCCTAAACTCTAAAACCTTTACCGGTTTCAGAAAACTGGGGGGGGCCTTCTTTTGATTTTAGGGCGCCTTATAGCAAGAAGCCGATTAAATATGGGTTCCACATTAGGACCCATATATGATTGCACACGCCATTAACCCTAAGATCCCAAGCCCTAAGACCCAAAGCCTTAGAGCCTTCAACCCTAAAACCCTAAAAGCCTACCTTAAAGTACCAAACCCCACAATTTTGTAGGTTCTTATTACAAACCCAAATGTGGAGTCTATAGGGACCCCACAAAAAAAAGTAGGTTTTGGTAGGTTAAGGTAAGCCATTTACAAATTCCCTTCGTGAACTGAAGGCTGGAATCCTGGATGATTCTGGCAGTCTCGCGGATGGCGGATAGCGGCTTCGCTAGAAGACGGGTCCAAGTCTTGGCCCTAACCCCCAACCCCTAAAAAAACCCTAACCCCTAAGCCCTAAATCCTAATCCCTGAACCCTAAGCCTTAAATCCTAATCCCTGAACCCTAAGCCATAAACCCTAATCCCTGAACCCTAAGCCCTAAGCCCTAAACCCCAAACGCTAAACCCAAAAGCTGCTCATCTCTGCACATTTGAAAGCACAAGCCTGCCAGATCTGATCTTTGGCACGGCCTTCGATCATGTCAGAGAAACCCTAAACCCTAAGCCCTAAATCCTAAACCCTAAACCCCAAACCCTATGATGCTGCTGCTGATGATGACGAGGAGGTTAATGATGATTACTTGTATGTGGCCAATGAGAAGAGCAATTTCGGGGTTTGCTGCTCATTGTGTGCCGGTCACACCTACAGCCTGAGGCCGTATAATTTCCAAGCTTTAACCCCGCACCCCATATCGCAAGCCAAAGCCCAAACAGAAAGCTGCCACCCCTAAAGCACCAACGAAGACAGGGGTCTTAACAGTTAGAAAAGGCTCTCGTGTATATTGTACCTGCAGTTTTCAGAATAAGGAGACCCAGCGAATAGAAATACTAGTTCATCAGGCTTGTACATTGGAAAGCTTTGTCCACATGCTTTGAGATTTGGAAAGTTACGATGCGCACAGGATTTACAACCTGGTGAGTTGGGATCCTTAACGGGTACAACAAGAATAGCTTTTCATGGGTTCGTTCATGGGTTGGCTGCAGTGGGGACATACCCTAAACCTTAAACCCTAGACCCTACACCCTAAACCCTAAACCTTAAACATCATTACTCACCACGTCCGGAACAACATGCCGGCTTTGATCGACAGGGCGCTGTGCAATGGAACGTCGGATGAAGAATGACACAACAGAGCACTGAGTTTGGCAGCAGGGTGAACTTCTGAGTTGAGGCTTTCGTTCGTTTGTCGTGTGTGTAACAATTGCACATACAACTCTAAAAAATCATTACTCATTCTTCCGACCTGCAAATTACTCGGATCCGTCCACGCTGGTCACAAGACGCACGGGGTTATTGATGCTCTGCGCGGAGCGCCGTGTAAGTTCCCGAGTGTGTCCTTGTTTTCTTCGTCTGGGGTTTTCATTTGCCGCAGAGGCAACTATGAATTCACATGTGTGCGTATATATATATATATTTATATATGTACATACACATATACACGTTTATATATGCATATATACTGTTGTACATACATATATATATATATGCATGCATGTATGTATGT